TTGAGAGCGTGTTTTGAGATGAAAAACAATCTTAGTTTTTTTCTGTGTATTCAAAAGAAGAGTGTACAAGGAATATATACAGGGAAAAATTAGGGCCGACTATACTATAGAGCTACACTTAATTAGGGATTACAGCTACACTAATTGAAAGATATCAAATCAAAGACAATCTTATCTAAAATAGAAAATAAGAGATAAAAACTTTCCTAAATAACTTCATAATTTTCAACACTCCCCCTCAAGCTTGGTTGTAGATATTATACAAGCCAAGCTTGGAAATAAATTCTTCAAATTTGACTCTTGGTAAAGCTTTAGTTAGGATATCAGCGATTTGGAGGCGCGATGGAACATAGCTGAGCTGAATTATCCCGTGATCAACTTTTTCATAAATGAAATGTCGATCTATTTCTATGTGCTTTGTGTGGTCGTGGTGAACAGGATTTTTGGTAATGTCAATAGCAGGCTGGCTATCAGTAAACATTTTTACAGATTCTTCTTTCCTCATCCCGAGTTCATTAAGTAGTCTTTGTATCCACATACCTTCACATATTCCTAGTGCAAGAGCTCTATACTCAGATTCTGCACTACTGCGTGATACAATAGATTGTTTCTTGCTCCTCCATGTAACAAGATTGCCCCATACATATGAGCAGTAACCTATGGTTGATTTCCAATTGGTCTCCTTTGCAGCCCAACTTGCATCAGTATACACTTGGACATCATGAATTTTAGTTCTTTTGAGCCGTAGGCCTAAACTGGGAGTCATCTTGAGATACCTTAGAATACGTTTGATTGTTTCTATGTGCTCTTTAGTTGGTTCATTCATGCGTTGACTCACAATGCTTACAGAATACGCAATGTCAGGACGAGTGTGAGAGAGATAAATGAGTTTGCCAACAAGTCGTTGATAGTGTTCTTTATTCATCGGGGTTTGTTCTTCCTCATGACACCCCTTTTTGTTTGGATCCATGGGTGTTTCTGCTGGTTTGCACCCAAGAAAGCCAGTTTCTTTTAAGAGATCCAAGATGTATTTTCTTTGAGACATAACAATACCTTCCCTGCACCGAGAAACTTCCATTCCAAGGAAGTATTTGAGATGTCCAAGATCCTTAATTTCGAATTTGGATGCCAAGTTTCTTTTTAGAAGTTTAATCTCCTCAACATCATCTCCTGTCACTATGATATCATCAACGTAAACAGTTAGTATAGCTTTCTTCCTAGTAGTACTTGTCTTGATAAATAGAGTGTGATCAGCTTGGCATTGAACATAACCCTGTGAGATTATGGCTTGACTGAATTTTCCAAACCATGCATGGGGTGATTGTTTAAGGCCGTACAAAGATTTTTTAATCTACACACCATATTGCCTTTGGAGTTTTCAAATCCCGGAGGCATTGACATATAAATTTCTTTTTGCAGATCACCATTTAGGAAAGCATTTTTTACATCGAGCTGGTAAAGAGGCCAATCATTGTTTACGGCCAAGGAAAGTAATACTCGAACCGTGTTTAGTTTGGCAAGAGGAGCGAACGTCTCTTTATAATCAATGCCATAGGATTGAGTGAACCCTTTAGCAACTAACCTCACCTTGAATCTGTCTACACTTCCATCAACTTGTATTTCACAGAAAATATCCATTTGCACCCCACCGCTCGTTTATCTTTAGGTAATTTTGTGAGTGTCCAAGTTCCATTGGATTCAAGGGCTTTTATTTCTTCTTCAACAACCAATTTCCAGCTTGGTATTTTTAGTGCCTCATGAATGGAATCTGGAATCTGTGTTTGGTCAAGATTAGCTACAAATGACCTATAAGAAGGATGAAGTTTACCATATGCAACATATCTTTCAATCGGATGTTTGGTACATGAGCGGATACCTTTCCGTTGAGCGATTGGTAAATCAGAATCATCAATATTGGGCTCAATAATAGCATTGGTATCATCAATCGAATTCGTTTGTTGTTTTGTATCATCTGTGACAGAGATCAGAGAAGTATGTGTGATTGGATCTACTTGCTGTGAACGGCGATTTCTTCTGGAGTAGACACGAAGTTGAGGAGAGGCATGTGTGATTGGATCGTTTTCTAGAGAAGCATTTAAAAATGTCTTCGAGAGTTGAAATATTTTCAAGAGGACTAAATAGAGAACTTGTGTCTAGAGTATTTATGGTGTTCTGTTCTAGAGTGACAACAGGCGAAGGGACACCAGAAGGAGTATGTGAAGTTTCCTAAAATTGATATTCATTGGAATTCTCCCCCTAAATATTGGTTTTGGGAAAATATGGTTGATTTTCAAAAAATGTAACATCCATGGTTGTATATATATTTCGAGTGAGAGGAGAGTAGCATTTATAGCCCTTTTGACGAGAAGAATACCCAATAAATACACATTTGAGTGATTGAGGGTCTAATTTTGACCGTTGTTGTTTCTGAATATGGACAAAGCTTGTACACCCAAATATTTTCAGCTGCAGTTCGGATGTAAACAAGAGAATGTGAGGATGTGATTTTGAGAGAATATCTCGAGGAGCTTGAAATTGTAATACTCGGCTAGGAATCCTATTTATGAGATATGTGGCAGTGAGTAAGGCTTCTCCCCAAATATATTTTGGCACATTATTTGTAAACATGATGGCCCGTGATACTTCAAGAAGGTGTTGGTTTTTCTGCTCGGCTACCCCATTTTGTTGAGGTGTATCAACACAAGAACTTGTGTGAACAATACCTTTTTCTGCAAGATAATGTCCAAGGAGAGTATTGAAATAATCCCGAGCATTATCAGTTTTCAGGACTTGAATTTTTGAATGAAATTGAGTAAGAATTAAGTTGTAGAATGATTGAAAAATGGTAAAGGTTTCAGATTTTTCCTTCATCAGGTATGTCCAAGTCATTCTTGTGTGGTCATCAATAAAGGTGATGAACCATCGGGCCTCATTTAGATTTTTAACTCTAGAGGGTCCCCAAATGTCACTATGGATTAATGAGAATGGTTTTGAAGGCTTATAACCAATTGTAGGATAAACATTTCGAGTATGTTTAGCAAATTAACAAATATCAAATTGATAAAACTGTGGCTTTTTATTTATAAATAACTCAGGAAACAACTTGGCTAAGTACATAAAATTGGGATGACCTAGGCGGAAGTGCCATAACATGGCTTTATTTTGTATGGAAGACACGGAAAACGATGTTGAATTAGAGACGAAAGCAGAATTTGTGCTAGACTTGAAGCCCGAGTTAGGGGTTTCTTGAAGCAAGTATAATCCTTTGCTTTGCTTAGCAATGCTAATCACCTTCCCCGATCCCGCCACCTGAAAATCACACCATTCGGTAGAAAAACGAATTATACATTTCAAATCTCGAGTAAGTTTACTTATGGAAAGTAAATTGCAATCCAATTTTGGTACAAACAAAATTGGTTGAAGAGTGATATTATCAGACAATGTAATAGATCCAATTCCTTCTACAAGAGAGAAGGAACGATCAGCAATTCGAACACGGGACTGTTGAGGTTGAAGACATGAGAAAAGACTTTTATCAGATGACATATGATTGGAAGCCCCTGAGTCTAATATCCAGGTTGGTACTATCATTCCCAAAGGAGGTATGAAGAGCATAGATGATTTTACCTTTATGAACCAATAAGCTAGTAGATTGATCAGAAGTACCAGAGGTGTTTGCTTCAGAAGTTGTGCTATTCTGCATCATCTTTGTCCATGTTTCCAACTGGTTCTTGATAGTTTGGATTTCATTATTATATGGTTCTGGACTAGCAGCAAGATTTGCCCGATTTTCTTTAATGAAACGACTATTCGAGGGTTTCCAATCCGCTGGCTTTCCATGGAGTTTCCAGCAAACAGATTTCCAGTGACCGTAGACCTTGCAGTGTTCACACCAGGGACGACCTTGAGCCTTTTGGGACTTCCCATTATGAGTAGACATGTTTGTGAAAAGAGCAGATCCCTCGGTGGTATAAGTATTGGATTTGGGCATCATAAGTTTCTTGCGACTTTCTTCTTGACGAACTGTAGAGAAGGCCTCACGAGGAGTTAGTAAGGGGTGTATTCCCATGACACGGCTTCCAACACCATCTAAGTCTTTGTTGAGGCCAAGTAGAAATCTGATAGTTCTCTTTTGATTCACCACGGTGCGAAAAGTGGTGGCATCATCAGCACATTTCCAAGGGTAAATCTCGAATAAATCTAACTGAAGCCAAATTCGGGAAAGAAGATGGAAGTATTGAGTAACAGAGAGATCACCTTGATGCAGGTCGTACAACTTTGTCTCGAGTTCGAACAATTCAGAGGAGTTTTCAATGCTAGAGTAGGTTTCTTTGGCTGCCTCCCAGATCTCTCGTGCAATTTTGTAGAGCAGAAAATTTTCTCCAACTTCGGTTGTCATGGAGTTAATTAGCCAGGACATGACCAGATGATCATTGATCCTCCAAGTTCTAAACTTTGGATCCTTTGAGTCAGGAGCCACAGTTTCTCCAGTGAGATGGCCATCTTTGTCACGACCACATATAAACATGAATATAGACTGAGACCACTGGAAGAAATTTTAACCATTGAGTTTGTGACTCGTTGGAGGGGATATATCAGGATTTCCTGGTACAAGTGTGATTGTATGATGATTGGATTCAGAAGATTTTGGAGATGAATTAATCATCGTGAATACTTTAGGTCAGAGTAAGCTCTGATACCGTGTAGAAATTGAGAGCGTGTTTTAAGATGAAAAACAATCTCAGTTTTTTCTGTGTATTCAAAAGAAGAGTGTACAAGGAATATATATAGGGAAAAATTAGGGCCGGGTATACTATAGAGCTACACTTAATTAGGGATTACAACTACACTAATTGAAAGATATCAAATCAAATACAATCTTATCTAAAATAGAAAATAAGAGATAAAAACTTTCCTAAATAACTTCATAGTTTTCAACACTTACAGAAGAAGACAAGCCCAATAAGGGAGGACAGAAAGGTGGAAAGAAAGGTAAGAACATGAAGGGCATTCAAGAGGGTCCATCAGGTCAGGCCCAGACCCCAAAGAAGAGAAAGGGTCAAGGTGCTGCTCCTTCTGTTCCGAAAAGGCAAAACGTGAAAAAGCAAGTCTGAAAGCCTCGCTCTCCTACAACCAGCGAGAGTGAATACCAACCATCAGACAATCCTTCTGATATTCCCAGTGATGGTGAAGATTTACTCCACGATAATTCGCTTCCACACTCTCCACCACTATAGGTAACTCATAATGACATTGTTCCTTCTCCTCCTCGTACTTCTAAAACCACTACTCCCATCACCATTGCACCTTTTCCACCTCCTATCTCTACTCAACCATAGGGAACCATTCCCTTGTCCACTCCACTATACACAACTTCAACCACCACCACCATTACTCAAACCACCACTACCACAACCCATATCAGGGAAGCAGGGGTAGGAGCTTCAGGTTTTTCTACCAGCCATCAATCCCCTCCCATCTCTCCTTTACGTTAGGGAGAGGGTGAAACTATTTTTGGTGAAGGTATTTTTAATTTTGAGAGTTTCCACTACAGTCTCTTCACGGTGTAGCAAGATAGCGATGATGATGCCCCTGTTTCTCAAAGGCATCTCAAAGATTTATATCAAAAGCTGGATTCTCTTATTGGCTCCATCTCATCATCCTCCAACATTACGTACTTCGAAGCTGCAGTTAAGGTGATGCTCGATACTTTAGTGAAAGAGCACGCTGCAAACCTTGAAAAGCCAAACAAAGCAGTGGAGAACTCTACTCAATCTTTCAAGGAATCGACCGAAAAAGTTGATAAACTAATCATAGATGCTCCGGCCTTCATGACTGATCTTAGGTCTGCTGCTGATTCCAATGTCTCAAATGAGAATAAAGTAATTGCGAACGTTATAACCACTCTTCGCACCGAGAAAGAAGCTCTCCATTAGGTTCGCACTGATCTCCAAAAAGATCACTCGACCTTGCAGACCTCCATCTCCTATCAAATTACGAAACTACAAGAGGATTTGGTGGTTGAAAGCAAAATCATGGATGAGCTCGCATTAAAAACTACAAGGGTCAGGGTGTTGTCCACGAAGCTTACTTCTGCAAACAATGAGATCGTTAAGCTCAAGTCTGAACGTGCTGTCATGAAAAGATGCATGTCGGATGTTAACGCTCTTCTCTCTAATCTGATTAAGGCACATGATCCCATGCTCCCCCTAACTACTTGCAAGGACCTTGCTAAAAAGCTCTGTCCTATAGTGGCTATGCTGAACAGACTCGAGGGTGTTTAGGTACCTCCGGACCATCCGAAAGAAGGGGAGAAATAGAAAAACCTACAACAACCTCCTATGGTAACAAAGAGGAGATCCCAAAAGTAAATGAACCGAGGGTAATGAAACTTCGGGATCAAAAGTAAAGGAAAAGATTGTGCAAGGTAATGAAAAATAAGAAGAGGAAACAGAAGCCAAGAAGCTTAAACGTAAATCTCGTGATGAGGTCTAAATGAGAATGCTCGCACTGCGAGAGAGGAAGAAGAGAAGGAAAATGCTAAACGCGAAGCCCAAGCTACTCTACAGAGCCGAAATTGTTGTTCCCAGCATGGACCATGGAATGAATCACTGCTGAAGTGATTGTGTCACACCCCCGAACCAGACGGCGGAAACGTCCGGGGGCTGTTGTGACTCAATTGAATACCATAACATTGTATATCTATGAAACGTAACAACATTCGTCACCATGCATTAATATAGTACAACCAGTAAAGTTTACATGAAGTACATTGTTTAAACATTACATTCCCAAAAATAAATTGTTCGTTTCGTACATAAATAAACTGCAAGCCATCACTGAATATGATTTCCTTTGATTCACTGGTTCCCTGAGAATACAAGTATTTTGAAAAACGTCAACATATGAAATGTTGGTGAGTTCATAAGTAGTGTTTGAAATCTAATGTTTTGTATTGTTTGAAAACCACCAGAAAATCCGATATTTTCTGAAAATAGTATAGTCAAAAAGGTGTGAAGATCCATAGGTATGCTTGTTTGTTTCTATACTTGTAAAAATTGTTCATTAAAATTGTATGCATTCCGAATCCGTATGTATTGAAAAACCCTAGGAAAACCCGATGTTTTTCTAATTCTTTGAATTACATGAATTTACATTGAAACCATTGTAACGCGTGAAGTTATCAATACCAGGCAAAGTTGGATTATTTTTGAGCATGATTATTTGCTACAAACGCGCGTTACACAAACGACTAGTCTATAGCAATACTAACGATCCCGTACGCGTCGTCCGTACTAATCACGTTATCCAACCGCCCTGACTACGTGTAGTCCCACATCCGAAGAGAAAGAGGACATGAAGGCCTCGATGACTCCATTAGCCGGTTGGGGATAAAAAGGTACGAGGGGTCCCAGACCCGCCTCGCATAAAAAGGTAGACTCTACTAGCAATACCAAAGGACCCTTGGGGACCAGTAGTATACAAGCCATTGAAAGTCCTTTTACGTTGTGTCGGATCGGTAAAACCCAACACTTCGTAAGATAGAGGTCTTCGGGCCTTAAGATCAGGTCATTGGGCTAGCTAGGCTCAACAAACAAGATTTTACACTTTTGGGGCCCAAAGATGGTGCGTAGACGTCTGTGCACACTCACATGTATATTGAATTCCCAAACGTTATTAGTATGAATTGTAGTGTCGTAGTGTCATAGTATCGTCGTGTTTTGTAGTTTCGGATTTTTATTGGTTCGAGACCGAACCAATTCGTTTAACAACGACTTTTGGTGTTGTAATGTGGTTGTATTTCATCGATAGTCGCGGTGCCATCATTTGATCAAATTGCATGTATTGAATTAGCCTTGAAAGTTTTCTGTTTTCAGCCCCTCATTGTTTGTAAAATTTACTTTTTCAACCCTTTATTTAAATACTTTCCGGTTTGGTCCTTAAATCAATTTTCTTGACATTTTAACACCAAAAATTATTGAAATTAATATTTTTCAGCATATTTTTCATAGAAAACAGCTTAAGTCCCTGAAATTTCAGTTTTCTCGGTTATAACCCTTCTTTTTCGCAATTTTGACAATTTTGGCCCAAATTGTAAAATTTTGCAACTTTGGTCCTTCTTAAATTTAAAAAGCATTTTAAACCTTTGAAAAGGACTTGGAACACTTATAGTCCACTATTTTACAGAAAAACACAATTTTGGCCCTCCAAAACAGAAAATATCGCATAATGGGCCTCATTGGGCCGAAAATGTCATTTTTAGCCCATTAAGCTTGAAATTTATGTTTTTAATTCTCTAAATGAGTATATTTCTAGAAATGGTTTTATTGAAACTGTTTTGACACACCTTATCCATCAGAATTCGTGATATGTCAATTTGGGCCCTTAATTTTGTATTTTTCACATTTTAGGTCCAAAAATTGTGTTTTTAGCCCAAAGAAATTATTACTAAACCACTTAGCTATTTTTCTAGAAACACTTAGTATGTAGAAATATATTAGAGGCTAAAATCATTTAACATAATGTATATCTCGGTTTTGAGGGGTTTTATGGCTAAATCCAACATTATAACTCACAAAAGCACACTTATAAGCATGGAAATCATACAAAGCATACAAAACACATATAGATCTACACTTTCACTTGTATTCCCCCCCCCCCCCCAAAAAAAAAACTCATAAAAACAGAAAATAGGGGGTATGAAGCTCACCTTGTTTGAAGCTTTCGGTTTTTGAGGAAAAGAGAGAAGAAAATGAAGTGATTTTTCGGCCTTAGCACCTTTCCTTGGTAGATCTCGAGTTTGATGTGCTTCTAGGATGTAAGATCACGATTTTTGCATGGATTATGAAGAGATTTTGATAAACAAAGACTCTAAATAATAGATCCAAACATAACCTTACCTTAGATGAAGAGTTTGTGGAAATATCCTCTTGAAAGCTTCCTAAATCTCGAGATTTTTGAGTGGAGAGGGAGGATATGTTCTTGAGTGTTCTTGAGAGAGTTTTAGAGATATTTGTGTATGTGTGTGTGTGTGTTTCGGCCGTGAGTGAGGGAGAGGGAAGAAGGAATGAACTTTGAGGTGATGTGTGCATGGGTATATGAGATATAATGCATGGATAACCATGAGGTAATAGTGAGGTGTCACTTGAAAGTCAACTCTCTTCATCTCCTCTTGGGTTTGGGCCTTGGGCCGAGAGTTTTGAATGGAAAAGGAAAAATTTGGGCTTTTTGCCCCTAAGCCCAATATTAGAGTTTGTTTGGGTGTGTTTTAACCTAAAAGAATGTGATATGACTTTTACATTTTTGTTGGACTAGTTTAGGTTATTCATGGATCAAAGCTTTTAATTCATTTCATTCTAGGCCCAATATGGCCCAAAATGTTGAAATTAATTAATGTGAGTCCAATTAGAGCCCAATTAGGGTTCTAAGCCCATGATAGTCTAATTGGAAGCTTATTGGTCCATTTGGATCCAATAAGGAAGTCCTAGTCCAAAATGGACTTAAACAAGGACTTCTAGGGTCTCCAATTGTTTGATGACTATTTGTAGTACTTGTATGATGCCTTTGATTGGAGTTTTTGATGTCATAATAGTAGGTGTCAATCATGTTCTTAAGTTTTGGATTCACATTAACTTGAGTGTATAGATTACATAACACAAAATTTCCAGTTGTGACAGATTGAATTTCCAAACATTCACTGGCTTGAACCTATTGCATCGTTCAAGTTAGAGAATACTATAGAGTCGCAGTTCGACATGCCCATAACTACGAAAGCCTTTCTCTTTTGTTGCTTTGAGCCTATAGTGAGCACAACTGCATCAGTTGCAAAAGACAATAAAACACTGATGGAGCTCTATGTTAAGCATGCGAAGCCTCAGTATGAGACTTAGAGTGCACAAATGATCACTGCTGTGAAACTGATTGGGCCAATTCAGACCGGGAGTTTCGCAAACGCCAAATTCAAGACAACAAGAGGTTCAAAGAATGCGATACATGAATTCACTGTTGCTGATCTCTCGTGTCTTAACCCGTATGATTGGATTGTTTTGTTGCACTTCCTGCTAAATGATGAAGATAAGTATGGGCCGATCTTGGATCGTGTCAAGATCATGTTGGTGTCGTACATTCACGAGGTTGCGAAATTAGACATGGAGATCACCAATGCTCTACAGTAAAATCCCACCGTTCTTCCGCAGGGTGCTGCCAGTGATGTTAATAAAATGAAAATGGGGAGGATCGACAACGTAAACTGGACTATGATGTTCCATCGTGGTTCTGAAGACCATGGTGATTCTGAAAAATGTTTGTTCGCACTATCTGATAAACATCATTTCTCCATAACCTGCATGAATTACATTTTGGAGATTATTGAAGGGTGTCCAGCGAATGATGCTGCTTCAAAGAAAAACTTTCATGACATGATTCCATCGTACATTGCATTTTGAAGCACTCTTCTCGCTACTAAGCCCAAAATCTTCAAGACGACAAAGAAGACTCTGAAGTGAAGATCCTCTCGCCTCGATTGATGCAAAGGGGGAGATTGTTGGGTATTAGATGTTGCGTCATTGGGATTTTTGTATAGGTTTTTATGTAAACGGTTTGGGCCTATCGATTCCGTATTTATTTCTAGGGTTAGTGTATTTAAGATGCATGCATGCTGAATCACGTTTCTACAGTAGCAATTCTTTGTCGAGTTCTTCTAAGGCATGACTTTTAATCATCCAATATATTTTGAATCATCGTTGTGTTATTTACTTTAATCTGTTTGAATCTAAACGATCTTTTCAAGGATTTTCATCCTAACAGCATGCATTTTAGCACGACCTTTCACCCACTGATGGATGGTCAGACCAAGCGGACTATCCAGAAATTGGAGGATATGAAGTGGGCATGCGTTCTTGATTTTGGTGGTAGCTAGGATACATATATTCCGTTAGCGGAATTCTCATATGAAAATATCTAACATTACAATATCAATCGACCTCCTTTTCATATTCTCTATAGGAGGAAATGTAGGACCTCGATATACTGGGGAAAGGTCGGAAAGCGAGTAATGGGGAGTACCGAGGTGGTACTCAAGATGATAGAGATGATTCAGCATGTTCGTAAAAGACTTTAGACATCTCAGAGTCAGAAGAAAAGCTATACCAACAAGCGCTGATCAGACTTGGAGTTTTAGGTTGGGATATGGTTCTCCTGAAGGTGTCACCATGGGAATGTGTCAATTGATTCAGGAAGCGGGGCAAACCGGGCCCCAGGTATATCGGTCGTTTCAGGGTTCTAT